TCTCTGACGCTCAAATAAATAAATAAATCTTTTTTTTAAAATCACACATTTTTTAATCAACTAACTTACTGAAAAACATACATTGCTTTGAACCTGATAAAATCATTATGGAGTGTTTCATTTAAGGTTAAGAAAGCAATAGAAATTGGAAATGCCTACTATAATAATGAAGATTAGCATGTGCTATTCTCATTCTAAAAATGAAATATACACTAAGACTATTAATAGTTTTAGTATCTCTGGGCAATAAATACTATTTTATTATATTCATCTTTCAACACTTGAAGGAAACAAACAATTTTCTATTAGGTAAGAAACAGTATTTTTAGAAATTATTTTTTTAATTCTCTTTTTTAAAGATTTATTTATTTATTTGGAAGGCAGAGTTACACAGAGAGAGGAGAGGCAGAGGCAGAGACAGAGAGAGAGAGAGAGAGAGAGTTCTTCCATCCGCTGGTTCACTCCTCAGTTGGCTGCAAAGGCTCAAGCTGCGCCGATCTGAAGCCAGGAGCCAGGAGCTTCTTTCTGGTCTCCCATGAGGGTGCAGAGGCCCAAGGACTTGGGCCATCTTCTACTGCTTTCCCAGGCCATAGCAGAGAGCTGGATCGGAGGTGGAACAGCCGGGACTTGAACTGGTGCCTGTATGCTATGCCGGCACTGCAAGCGGCGGCTTTACCTGCTACACCACAGCACCAGCCACTTTTTATTAATTTTTTAAAAATTTTTATTTATTTATTTTTTGACAGGCAGAGTTACAGAGAGAGAGAGAGAGAGAGACAGAAAGGTCTTCCTTTTTCCGTTGGTTCACCCCCGAAGTGAGCCATGGCGCCGGCTTTTATTAATTTTTTTAAAAGGTTTATTTATTTATTTGAAAGTCGGAGTTACACAGAGAGAAGGAGGGGCAGACAGAGAGAGAGGTCTTCCATCCGCTGGTTTATTCCCCAACTGGCTGCAACGGCCGGTGCTGCGCCATTCCAAAGCCAGAAGCCAGAGGCTTCTTTTGGGTCTCCCACGCAGATGCATGCACCCAAGGACTTGGGCCATCTTCCACTACTTTCCCAGGCCATAGCAGAGGGCTGGATCGGAAGTGGAGCAGCTGGGACTTGCAAACTGGCACCCACATGCAATGCCGGCACTGTGGGCAGCCACTTTACCCACTACACCACAGCGCCAGCTCCTTTTTTAATTCTTAAAAAATGCCGTCCATAGGCCGGCGCCACGGCTCACTTGGCTAATCCTCCGCCTGTGGCGCCAGCACCCCGGGGTTCTGGTCCCGGTTGGACGCCGGATTCTGTCCCAGTTGCTCCTCTTCCAGTCCAGCTCTCTGCTGTGGCCCAGAAGGGCAGTGGAGGATGGCCCAAGTGCTTGGGCCCTGCACCCGCATGGGAGACCAGGAGGAAGCACCTGGCTCCTGGCTTCGGATCGACGCAGCGCCGGCTATAGTGGCCATTTTGGGGTTGAACCAACAGAAAGGAAGACCTTTCTCTCTATCTCTCTATCTCTCTCTCTCTCTCTCTGTCTAACTCTGCCTGTCAAAAAAAAAAAAAAAAAAAAAAAAAAAAAAAGCCATACATGGGGGCCAGAGTGTGATGGAGCAGATTAAGCCGCCGCCTGTGATGCCAGAATTCCATATGGGCACTGGTTCGAATTCTGGGCTGCTCCACTTTCAATCCAGTTCCCTGATAATGGCCTGAGAAAAGCAGCAGCAGATGGCCCTAGTACTTGGGCCTCTACTACCTACTGGAGAGACCTGGATGAAGCGCCTGGCTCCTGGCTTTGGGCTGGCTCAGCTCTGGCAGTTGAGGCCATCTGTGGAGTGAACCAGTGGATTAAAGATCTCTCTGTCTCTCTCCTTCTCTTTAACTCTGACTTCCAAATAAATAAATAAATCATTTTTTAGAATGCCATACATTTTTGTGCACTATAGTTGTTATCTTCTTTTCACAGTTTTGAATATTCTGATGTTTGCCAGTGAGCATGTGTCATTTGTATATATACAATATACCATACAAGGGTCCTTCAAAAAGGTCATGGAAAAATGGAATTAAAAGCTAAGTTTAGGGGCCGGGATTGTGACATAGAGGTTAAGCCTCCGCCTGCAATGCCAGCACCCCATATGGGCACCATTTTGAGACTCAGCTGCTCTACTTCCAATCCAGCTCTCTGCTAATGTACCTGGCTTCCCAGCAGAAGATGTTGCAAATGCTTGGGCTCCTGAACCCACGTGGGAGACTTGGAAGGAGTTCCGAGCTCCTAACTTTGGCCTGGCCTAGCCTCAGCAGTTGGGGCCATTTCAGGAGTGAATCAGAAGATTTTATCTCTCTTTTCTTCTTCCTCTCTCTGTAACTCAGCCTTTCAAATAAATGAAAATAAATCTTAAAAAAAGCTAAGTTTACTTTGGTACAAAAATAAATTTAAATCTTTGCATAGTTTTTCCATAATGTGCATATTCCATGAACTTTTTGAAGGATCAATCCCTACCCTCTTGATTCTCTGTTTCTTTCTTTAAAAAGTATACACAGTTAGGGTCTTGGCTGTGGCTTAGTGGGTTAAGCCTCTATCTTTGATGCCAGCATCCCATATGGACTCTGGTTTGAGTTCTGGCTCCTCTACTTCTGATCCAGCTCCCTGCTAATGCGCCTGGGGAAGCAATGGAAGATATCCTTGGATCCCTTCACCCAGTGGGAGACCCGGGTGAAGCCCCTGGCTCCTGGCTTTGGCTTGGCCCAGCCCCAGCTGTTGTAGCCATTTGAGGAGTAAACCAGAGGATGGAAGATCTCTCTCCACCCCCCATCCCTCTCTATAACTCTGTCTTTCAAATAAATAAAATAAATCTAAAAAAATAAAAAAAAGCATGCATGGGGCAGGCGTTTTGCCTACCAGTTAAGATGCCCACATCCCACACTGGAGTGCCTGGGTTCAAAGGCTTCTGACTCCTACTTCCTGCTAATTCATATCCCGAGAGGTAGCAGAAGATGGCTCAAGTGGCTGGGTTTCTACCATCCATATGCAAGACCAGGATTTATTTCTGGCTCCCAGCTTGGCCCTGGTCTGGCCCCAGACATTTTTTCTTATTTTTCTTTGAGGAAACATACATTAAACATGCAGTCCTAAAAATATTGTCTTGGGCTCATGGTTGTGGTACAGCAGGTGAAGCCATAGCTTAAGATAAACCCTATCTGCTGCTGGAGTACTGGTTTGAAGCCTTGCTCCTCCACTTCCCATTCAGCTTCCTGCTAATGCACCTCAGAAGGCAATGGATGATGGCTCAAGTATTTAGGTCCCTGCCAATTACGTGGGGGACCTGAATGGAGTTCCTGGCTCCTGTTTTGGGCCTGGTCCAGTCCTTGTTGTTGTGGCTATTTAGGGAATGAACCAGTGGATGGCAATCTCTGCAACTTTGCCTTTCAAATAAATCAACCTTTCTGTAAAAATGAAAATGTTGTCCTTTACATCTCAGAAAGTCTCAGGAGAAATGTGAGCGATGTTGTCAGAGGGAGAAAACGAGTCTTATCTGTGTGTAGGGAGAGACAATCTATATCCTGGGGCTCAAGGTTCAATCTGCAGGGGAGAAGTGAAAAGTTGAGCGCCTTCAAAGTACTTATAAATAGAAACTAAGCCAGTGGGAGAAAAACCTGGCCAAGCCCATTTCCCCTGAAACCTGGAAGGCCAGCACAAAAACCTGTTTTTGCTTCAACACAAAAAATAACTGAAAAAAAAAAATCCTCTCTATCGTCACTAGAGATAGACAAGCTTCATCTCCCAACAAAAAAAGAGTTAGGGAGGACTAGGGATTGGAAAATTTGTTTCCATATGAGATGTTCAATCATTTAGGCTTTTACTGCTTCCATACTGTGCACTGCTGTGATTTTTACTCACTTACTTGGCCCTACTTACCTTTCTGAAGTTCAGTATCTGCATAAATAGGTAGCTAGTTAAGTTGGATGTGGCAAATTGTATTTTCCAAAGTCAGTCAAATAACCCCTCTAGCCCACATGTTCTACAATAGAACCTTGCCACTCCTCTGTCAACAAGTGTAACTCACTCCCCTTCCCCTGAATCTGGGTTGACCTTATGATTTTGCCTGTAACTAAGAAAAATATATCCCAATATCTCCATTATACACTAGACACATAGTACATGCTTTACAGAACAAAATTTTCTGTTAAGAAGCTTCAACATAAGGCATCATTAAATCCCTAGTTCAACATTAGACAGGGTATAGCATGAATTGATTCAATATCAGATTTTGTTTAGAGACAAAAATTCAATCACATTATTGGGGGATATTACAAACATACTAAGGTGAATCATTTAACAATAAATGATTGGGATAAATCTTTGGCCATGGGACCACGGTACTCATAAAATTGCAATTTTTCTATATTGATGGAACCCTTTATACATTTAATTTCTTTCCGGTCATGAGCAAAGGTAGAGAACATGGGTTGGCAAGCCATAGTCCACAGACCAAGTCAGGCCCACCATCTGCTTTTGTAAGTAAAGAGCTATTGGGACACGTAGACATCTGTTCAATTACAGATAGTGTGCTGCAGCTTTCCTGCCACAATGTCAGAGCTAAGCAGTTGCAACAAAGGTTTTTATGACCCAAAAAACCTAAAATATTTACTCTGCTCATTTATTGAAAAAGTGTGCCATCTTTGATGTAAATCAATACTTTTCCCACTGTTAACAATAATAAGTTGCATAAGTTATATTTTATAAGACTAAGGAGAAATCCTTGTTGTGGGGAGGCTCTCTTCATTTAGATTTGAATGCAGGCAGGTTACATGGTAACCAGGAAGTACTTTCTCTGAGATTTAAGTAAAAGAACCACATTGATATTACTAACTGTGTCATCTACAGTGGCATACATAATCTGAGGTTGTTGGGATATTTGGTAAGATCCAGTCTCCTAGGATCACTAAATGGAGAGTAGGTGGTTAGTGGGACATTTAGAAAAGCAACCCAATCAGTGTTCCAGCCATCGAGATCCTTGCCTTGTCTGCAGGTGTTAACCTGGCCCAGGGCTTGTCTGCTCGTCGGTCATAGTCGGGAGAATCAGTGACTTCCACATACTCATTAAACCGTAGGATCCTTCGAGCTTGGAGCTCTGCTACTGTGGGTCTCAGGCTGAGCTGCAGAAAGACAGGAAAAAAAGGTGGAGTTCAGTGAACCAATGACTGCCTCATGGTGGCAAGTTTTCCATAGAGAACTCCTCCAAGTTATGGTTAAACAGGGTCACTTTCAGGTATCAAAAAAAAAAAAAAAAAAGGCAGCAGCATCTTGGGAATTTGTAATGAGAACTAGAAAGCAATGTGCCCTAATTTTTGAGACTATAAAAATCATCCTTGTTAGCTAGGTCACAGTCTTGGACAGCCATCTGCATTACACTCTTCCCCCCAACCTTCCTGGCTCTGAGATGAAGACCTGCCTGTCATCCCTGACACAAGGAGCACGCAGCCTCGCAGGCACCACAGTAGGGAGCCCGGGTACAAGAGGGCTGCTCTTGTGGTCCAAGGATCAAGACAAAGGTTGTGAAATTCTTAGAAATGAGAGTAAATGTCTCTGTTCCTGTTACATGAAACCCATATATTCAAAATGCTCAATGTTGCAACACAGAAATGAGCCAGTGAAGGCTGTGCATACAGCAGTCTTCCTTGAGAAAAGAAGGACCCAGTACCCAAGCTTGACCAGAAAAGCCACAGTGCAGGAAAGAGGAGGGGACAGTTGCTGGAGAACCATACTTCAGTGGGGCCCAAACTGTTTAAAATCAGCTGCCACCTTTCCAACACCTCTGATCACTTGGGTTCCTCCATGTGATCTTTGCCAAATTATAATTCTACTGAATCGAGTCAGCCCTTTGGGTGTTTACTTTCCTCTCTGGGCCCTTTCTAAAGCCCAAACTGCTCTGATGGCTGAAAGAAACCTGACTTGCTGACTAACAGCATCATCTACCCTCAGTAATTGAGGTTTACCCCTTGTTATGGTCTTCTCAGTAGGGACAAAAAAAAAAAAAAAATCTTAGTATTTCTGGATAAATAAACCCAGGACTCTGTTTCACCTATAGGGTTCATTTTCAGTATCTTTTCTTTCTCATCAGTATCTGGCTATAGTTAGACTGTCTCCTCTTTGGGGATATTCCATATTTTCATAGGCTCAAGAACAGTACACTATGCATGGACTCTGCAGTTGAAAGTAGCCCCTTTCCTGGCCTCAGTTTTATCCCAACTAAATTCAGAGGCTGAACTAGGTCAATGCCCTGATTGAGACAAGACATTTAGGGACTCTTAAAAGGCCTAGGTCCATACCCTACGCCTCTCTGATCTGGGATATGGTAACTACAGCTCCTTCTGTCTTCATAGAGCCCTAGTAGGCAATAGACAGGGGAGGGAATAAAGCATGTGGTTCTATTCTTCTCCTAGCTGCTGTCCAACTGGATTGCAGGTGGAGGTAAGGACACAGAGGAACACTTGTCCCTGAGGACCAGCCAGAAGGCAGGGGACCAATGGCTACACAGGTCAGAAATTCTCCATTCAGTTTTGCCCCTTAGAATGGGGCCAACAGTGTTACAAGCTGACTGTCCCCTGTGGCAGGGAGCTCAGTATGGTGGGGGCAAGTGGAAGGAAGGGAGAAGGACAGGCACTGTCGCTTCAAGGAGGGGCCCAGCTGGACTGAAAAAAAACTCTGTGTATGGCAGGAGTGAGCCCTGAGCAATGAGAAGTGGCTACTGCTCACCAGGAGCTGAAGTACAAGGCCACTGAAGGCCAGCAGAGCCATCCCCAGACAGATTACAGAAGCTTTCAGCTTGATCATTATTTGACATTTAGGAGCTTTGGGAAAACAAGAAATGAATTAAGATCTTTTTCCCTGAAAAATAAAAATCTTTCCAAATACAGTCCCTATAACTTTTCCATGGAAATGGAGTATTTCCTGCACCCACCTTGAAATGCTTCTGCCGTGATCTCCTCAGCCAACCCACAAAAATGTGGGTCAGGCCACACACTTCACTGCAATGTCATATTTTAGTCACTCTGCCCTTTTCCAGGTATGAAAGGTATAGCTGAAGAATTATTATAAGAATTTAAATGAAATATAAGCTCTGATAGTACTTAATTTTCCAAAGACTGTTATTATTTTAACAGAGAAAAAATGATGGCCTTGGAATCAGATTTATATTTTATAAATAAGTAGAAACAGTTGTCTGAGTTTTGGAGGGAAACCATTTGTCAATTTCAGTAGCGTTGCAACTGGCAGGGTAGATGATCAAGTTCACTTAATAAATTATTCCTCCAGCTCTCAAACAGAATAGTGGCATATATTCACTGGTACCAAAATATTTATCTAATATTTTAAAAACTAAATGTAAAGTACAGTATTTTTTAAACAATTTTTAAAAATGGAAATATATTTGCTGAAATGCTAATGATGGATTTCTCTGCATGGAAGACTCCTGAGTATTTTTATTTTATTTTTGTTCCTCTTTTCAGTTTTAATTTTTTTTTTTTTTTTTTTGACAGAGTGGACAGTGAGAGAGAGAGACAGAGAGAAAGGTCTTCCCTCGCCGTTGGTTCACCCTCCGAATGGCCGCTGCGGCCGGCGCACCACGCTGATCTGAAGCCAGGAGCCAGGTGCTTCTCTTGGTCTCCCATGCGGGTGTAGGGCCCAAGGACTTGGGCCATCCTCCACTGCACTCCCTGGCCACAGCAGAGAGCTGGCCTGGAAGAGGGGCAACCGGGACAGAATCCGGCACTCCGACTGGGACTAGAACCCGGTGTGCCAGCGCCGCAAGGCGGAGTTTTAAGAATTTTAACACAGAATGTGTATTTTCAGAACCAGAAAATGCAATTTAAAACTATCTGATTACTAACTTGTCAAAATTAACATTGTATTACATTGATTTTAAACCAATGATTACAGGAATAATTACTAATAGCACTAATCACTCCTAAACGTGAGATTTGTATTTTTTAAAAAAGCAATATATATTTCAAAACACACAAGCTCATTAACAGTCATAATTTTATCACCTTTCTGCTGAGTCTGCGTTTAAGTTCCATTTTTGCTTCTTGTTCTTCCTCTTCATTCTTTTCTGTTTATTAAGGAGGGAAAGGCATGATGACTTAGTTACTAAAGATAACTTTATAATCAGAAGAGCATATCAGGCCACAATTATCAGACTCTCACAGAAACTGATCAAACACTTCACTAATATCTTTGAGAAGCTGCCAAAAGATTTTGTAGAAAGATAATTTATATATGAAATTTTTTCTTGTAGGAGTGGTTTACTAATTTTAAACCTTTTTGTTTCCTGACTTCTTGCTCCATTCTGAAAAAACACAAGAGTGCCTGTCAACTCAAGGACTCATGAAACACAATTTACCAGAACTCAGATAAAAGTTTACTTCTGGATCTGATTTTCATGTGAAAATCTGAGACATATTAGAAGAGCAAATTAGAACCATCCGATGCACGTCTGAGCTGCTGATTTCCATTCAAATCCAACCAAAATATTTGATTTGTCTTCCTTGGTTTCCATAGAAGCAGAATGTAAGCATCTCTTTGAACCGTGCTTTCAAACCAGAACGTTCCGAATGGGGTTATGGTGTACTGTGGGTGGAAACGATTTATTTTCTTGTGACTTTGACTTTCCAAAGTCTTCTCTTTCTCTACTGCTTCACCAAGTAGTACAATTTAATGCTGTCCAACAGATGAGATTAAAGAAAAATAACATGAAGAATGTTTTTAAGAAACAACCAGCCCTCCAGGTTTTATGAGCTGCTTATTTGAGAACTTTTTTCTGTTGCTTCCCGCAGCACATCATCTATTTGATATGTGAGGACAGATCTTATTTCTTGGATACTAACACTTATGAAAGATTATCTTTTAAAAAAAGCTATTACAAACTCTATTCAAGAAAATTCACAGTCTAACGGCTCAACCAAAAGGTTGAAAAAGAAAAATCTCTTCTATGAAAGATAATTATATTTATTTTTAAAATTCAAAGACTTCTTACCCCTAAGATTATTAAAATATTAATATTCCATACTTGCAACACTTGTATTTCCATGTTGAACAGGCTAAATTCACTATGAATTTTCCTTCTCTGGACCAGGAAGTTTCTACATCCTTCTGAAATACTAATCTTAATTCAAAAGAAAGAGAATGATCAGTCTATCTAGGGAGTGAACACAAAATCAAATAACTCATGAAACAAGAAACAACTAGTTTATATCCTTTCATTAAATGCCTATAAATTGTTCTATAATTCAAATTTTTTCCTATGAAAATAGTATAGGTTTTTCTAACTGCTTCACAAAATATATCTTTTCAGATCTTTAAAATACATACTTAGCCTCAATTAATTACTTATGAGTAGGATAAAACACATGGATTGTCAGTTATACAAAAGAGACAAATGACAAACTTGTGGGGCATGTGATTCACATCAAAGCTTTACAGGGTGAGGGCTTTGATGATATTATTAACGAATAGTCAATTCTTCCTATGCAGTAATTATGCGACATTTTTAAACGTTATTTTCAAAAAGATGAAAAAGATGGATATTTAGTGCATCCCAAAGGCAACAAATATTCCAATTTTCATTAAATATGTAAAATGTAATTTCCTTCAAGGGAATATTAGACAATTTTGCTTATTAAGCATATTGAATAATGAGGTAACAGCCAGTGATATTTTGAAAAAGGGCCAGCTGCAGTAAGGGGAGTTAAGTAAACAGGATTTCACTATCTGGGGACTCTTTTTTGGCATCAGGAACTGACTTCCTCATATTTCCCAGTTTCAAAAAACTTCTAAAGAAGCTAGAGGAAGACGGTGAGAGGTGGAGGGAAGCCAACATGACTTTTCCTCTGAGTCTTATTAAATAGTTATTGTAAAATCTCTTAGAAAGTCAAGGTTAAATTTAAGATTAATACTTGGAAATTCAAATTTTTTTGTTTGCATATTTCCTTCATTTTTTGATTCATTAGAGGACCAATTAGGAAGTAGTGACCTTTCTGGTCACTTTGGCCTGGAGGGATATTTGTGAAGGAAGTGACGCGGTTCATTGACAATCTTGTTCGCAGCAACTCCCATCACAGCAGAGAGGGGTGGAGGCTTCGGAACAGCCACAGGAAGCATTTCCCATAAACACACAAACAATACATGTGGTTCAACAGCCACAGGCACCACAGGAAACCTGCCTGGCTGGTGAGTGTTGCCCAGACTAGGTTGCGGATGAATGAAAAGGAGAAGAAAGAAAAGTATAGAAGTCCCAACAACTACAGTATTATATTCTTGAGTCATCAATTCAGATTAATGGGTTCAAAAAAGTCAAATATTTTTTGTGGTTTCTGTCTGTTTTTGCAGTTTTGTATGTTTCCATGTGGCTGTTCACAAGTGAAAATGCAAGTATAAATTTATGTTGAAATACATAAAAAATAAGCTGGATCAACAGACGGACAGATATGTGATAAAGCAAGGTATTAAGAGTAGAATATAGATGATAGCTGTATGTATTTTTTCTGTAAAATTCCTCCATCGTTCCTATAGATTCAAAAATTTTTCATACTAAAATGTTGGGGAAGCATACATACAGAACTCAATGGCCTAACCCACTTTTTTTCTCTAAAAGACAGACATACACTTTCAGCTAAATATTGCTAAGAGGGTCTTTTTCAAATCTTGCCCTGTGAAAGGTATTCCATATGCATCACTTTTCCTGGTTTGTGAAAGTTGAGCTTTCAAGCAAAAGTTTCTTTTTGAGGCTTTTTAAGGAACTAGCTATAAATGCATAACTAAATATAACTTAATATCCATATTTTTTTCAAAAATTTTAGTGTCACCGACATAGTTGGGAAAGAATTCAAGTAAGAAGTAAGTAGGAGAATGACACTAAGCAAGAACACTTTTCCTGTGGCGTCTGATGAAAGCTGCCAACATTTATGCCATCTCATTCATGTGTGTTCTACCATCAATGGGCTCTGATAGGAGAACTACTGAATGTCTTATGCTGTGAATAGTCTCCCAGTTGGTCCAGAAAAGACGACCTAGTTACTTCAAAACGACACCACGGCACACACACACTTTTCTTTGAAGAGATCATCCTATTGCTTTTTGCACAAAAGCTGGAGGTGAAACACAGAAACACAGGACCACAATCTACCTGGAAGAACCCAAAGGTCAAGAGGGACTGAGCAACGTTCGTAGCTAAACCACTCAGCTCCCTGGGACCGATCTGCAGAAAGCCTGGGAAAACTGCTAGAATGAACCTCACCGGCTCTCTTGGCTTCCCTTGGCCATACAATACTGTGTCAGGAGATCACAAGCCAGTTATCAGCTTCTCCAGACTGGAAATGTGTCTTTTGTTTCCAGAATAAACATTCTTAGATGTACTTAGAAGGAAGTGAAAAACGGGCTGGAGTAAAATCTAAAGTTGACTTTGGTGTTTCACTCTTTCCCAAACCTCCAGGAAAACAGGGGGTATAAAAGCCAACACAGCACTTAAGATCAATGTGTGATAAATTTATGGATCCATGAAACAGTTCCTCAAACAACCAAACTCCAGTGTGGTTTGGCACTATTTGTCTCCCAGGAGCAGGAAAGAATTACCCAGAACTTGCTTGGCCATTTTTTCTAGGTATTGTATCAGACCTCCAAAAGGACATAATCTCTTTAGGAGCTTATGGTCTATATTTGAGCTTACTTAAAAGTTTAATGCAACAAATATTCACTTAGAACTTGTTATTGAAAGCAGTGAGCCTTTTTTCATTTTGTTTGGCTGTCAAAATTAGACGTTGCTTTTACCCTTCCTAAGTTAAAACACAAACTGTGCCTTCTTTTCTAGTCATGATTTTTTTCTTCTCCAAAACAGGCTCTTCCACACACTGACTGTCACTTTAGTCCTGGGGTTCTGTTGCAAGTTATGCTCACAAACAACAAGGAAAGAAAGCATTGCAAGCAAAAAGACCTTAGGGACAGGGAAGATGCTACCCTCTGTGTTAAGCCTGCACTGTTGGGGTGCCTTAGTGATAGCAAGTAGAGTAAAAACCTGCAACTAAAATATCTCTTTCCTTCAGGAAGGAGAGCAGCTCAGATTGGCATCCAGCAGGCCAATTCAACTCTACTAGCCTGGTAGAAAAGATTTTCCCCATGCCAATGGCTCCTTACCATCGCAGTACTGCCCAGAGATCTGCCCATCCCTGATCTTTGGTGTTTCATATAGTAAAAAGCTCTTTTGAAACTAGATTAACAATATATAAAACACCAGCTAAGTTCATCTTAAAAACAGCCCTTTGTTAACTCACTGCAGTTGGTAGCCACACTGACACACAGGAGCATGATGGACTGCCTCTCTGTCAGACTTGGTCTTTTTTTTTTTTTTTTTTGACAGGCAGAGTGGACAGTGAGAGAGAGAGACAGAGAGAAAGGTCTTCCCTCACCGTTGGTTCATCCTCCAATGGCCGCCGCGGCAGGCACGCTGTGGCCGGCGCACCGCGCTGATCCGATGGCAGAAGCCAGGCACTTCTCCTGGTCTCCCATGGGGTGCAGGGCCCAAACACTTGGGCCATCCTCCACTGCACTCCCTGGCCACAGCAGAGAGCTGGCCTGGAAGAGGGGCAACCGGGACAGAATCCGGCGCTCCGACCGGGACCAGAACCCGGTGTGCCGGCGCTGCAAGGCAGAGGATTAGCCTAGTGAGCTGCGGCGCCAGCCTGGACTCGGTCTTTGATACAGATATGCCAATCAAAAACGCTAGAGTAGTGAGTACAGATTAAAGTCAGAGGATGGGGGGAAAAAATGGGAAAATGAGTATGGGAATTCTGCAAGTGCAGAGAAACTACAGCACCTTAAGAGGGAAGCAGAGTTACAACAACAAAGGAAAATGAAATATATTGAAAAATTCCTTTTACCATAATTTTGTTTTACATGGAGTCATTTGTTGAAACAAGCAACGAACTGTATTATTAATAATAATATAGGAATGTTTGATTTATTTCTTTGTGGATTCTCTGGCCTTTTCTTTGACATTTGTTTGCAAGTAGACTAGGACATTTTCTTCTATTTAACATTTGGATGAGAGAATGCATGTAGCATATTTCATCTTTTCTAACAATTGTTAAGACCACGACTGTAGTCTGATGGATATCAGGTTCAAAGATCTAAATAAAAAATAAAATTCAAGAATTTTTAGTATATAAATAACTATATGTAATTGTCTTATAAATGAGCTATTTCAGTTAGTTGTGAGTAAATGAATATATTATGGTTTCCCACTAATAAATGGATCATGTCTAGAAGCAGTTTATTAATGGTTATACAAAGAACCCTTGAGTAATATAGAATACTCACGTTTCAATATATTTCTTTGCTCTAATTCTTCAGTTGTGGGTCTCTGGCTGAGTCTCCTATGATGACAAAAAGGCAACACTACAAGTTACAAATAAGGACCCTTTAGTTGGAGATGCAAAATAAAAGAACAAAACAATGTTTCTTTTTTTAAATTATTTTGAGAAATAAAAGTCCATTTTTTAAGTTAAAAAATAAAAGTCTTCTTCCCATTACTCTGGAGATTACAGATGGCAGCTAAGTCTATTAACTGTCCCCCTTCTCCATTCTCTCTCTCCCCTTTAGAAATAGAACTGCCTGGGTTTTAGCAAAGTGTCTGGCTCCAGCCATCTGCCTCCCCAGTAGCTGTATCTGGTTATGTGACTGAGTTTTTACAATGGATGGGACAGACTGATATCTGTAACTTCCACTTTTTACCCTTAGAGTGACTGGGTGTGTATCCTCTTCTCTATCTTTCCTTCTAGCACAGGCTAGAACTTAACCTTGGTGGTGGAAGCCAGTTCTGATCATGCAGATGAGACTATCCAGAGGAAGGGAGAGAAATAAGAGGCAAGGCGATGGTGCTCGCCCGTGCTAGTTGGCCCTCTCTCTCTGATGTGAAAAAGAAAGAAACATACCTCATTGGAGCCCCTGTGCTTTTCGGTGTCTGTTACAACAGATTAGTTAATATGTAGATTATCAGAGTTTAAAGCAGGCTGCTGCCCAAGAGGCCATGCCAATTCAGGAGAGACTGTCCATACTGCACAGTACTGTACATGGACCTCTGCTATGGGGGCCTGAAATGAACATATTATACATAAATTTATTTTGAAATCGACAGGCCCTTCCTTCTGCCCTCAAGAAAATCCAGGTTCATTTGGGATTAGATGCTAATCTATTTGACATGAGATCTGGATATGCTAATAATCCTTAATCACTTTGCTCTGGTCATGTTTATGTGAGTAATTTGTTGTTAATCAAAGAGAAAAACTTTTCTGGATATAAGCTGAATTTGTGCAAAGTAAACTAATATATAGGAAACATGATCTTAAAATCAGATATTATGAATTTTAGATATGGCTATGTCAGAAATGCTATGAAGGACTGAAATTAATATTTTAAATATCTCCTTAAAATATTGTTTACATTTAATCATTATCAGAGCTACCCTGAAATTAACTTCTTAAGTATTTGAGCCACAAAAAACCTCAGTGAACATCTGTGTCTATGCTAGCCAGATTTTGTGCCATCCATGTAGCCATATATCTTGTCTATATATCTGTAATTACAATATATTGGACTCTTTGTAATATCCCAAATACATCATCTTTCTTTTACTAATGGAGTTTTCTCCCTCTGGAATGCCTTCTCTCCTTTTCATCCTACTGAAATCTTACAAATGAATTCACAAAGTACCTTGAAGCTGTCTTTTCCTGAAAGTGAAAATTAAAGACACCGTCCTGTTTTTTGCCCATACGCAATAGTGGCACAGACTACACATTGATTAAAGCACTTAACACACAGGTCAATATAAAGCCAATAATCACAGCTATCATTTATCCATACTTTTAAAAGTCCCAGATACTGTGCCAGGTGCTTTCCTTACACTATTTTGAATCCTAAAACCAATTTGCAGAGCAGCAGCCAGCTCCCATTTTACATACGGGGAAATGATAGATTGCTACTATTTTTGTAAATGTAATTTCCCTTTTCTATTGTTTTCTTATTATATGTCAGTGTTGTATAAATGATATTGGTTTTCACAGATTAATCCCACATCTGTGAACCTGCTGAAGTTATTATATAGCGATTTCTGTACATTTTTCCAAAGTGTCCTAGTACACAGCACCATCTATTTGGAGTATTGCTTTCCTATAATTTATATCTTGTTTCACTACAAATAACTGTGGTCAGACTTTTAGTACGGGAAGAATGGGAAGCCTCTGTGTGCCTCTCTGTTTAATAAAAATGACTTTAAGGTCTCTATAAACTAAAGTATCAGCATAATTTTCAAAAAAACCTTTATTACTGATTAGGATTTTTAACAAAGAATTGCCAAATTTTATTTAATGCCACCTTAACATTTACTGAGGTGGGTAAATGAAACCTCACTTTTTAACTGCTTACTATGATGAACTACAATGATATTCTTTGTTTTTTTTGCATTATTTTACATTATTCTCTTTTGTACATTCTTCTTCACTGCAACATATAAACAAGGACAATAAAACAACCAAAAAACCTAGCGCACAAAGTATAAAACAGGAGACCACATACAAGAAAGAAGGCTGGGCAGAGAGCCTAGGATCCAACATCCTAACCTTGGTTCTGCTACTAAGGAACAGCGTGTCCTTGAGAAATTCCCTTAATCTTTCTGGTAATCTTGGTAATCTTGGTAAGATTACTAGTTTGACTTGTAAGATCCTTCCAGCTCCATACTGTTAATCACGTTAGTTCCTAAACCAGGAAACGGTCAAAGTTCAGGGCTGCAGTGAGACCAGCATGAAAAAGAGAGACCATTGGGGAACTATGCTTGAAATTCTTCCAGACTCTTGGGGAGAGTTCCAGGGCAGAGGGACACTCTAAGCCTCTTCCTGGACTGCCCGTTAGGCTGAGTTTTCCCCTCACATAGATGTCACCACAGCTGCCGTCTGTGAAATCTGTATCTGGTCCCATCACATGATCTCATATGGGCCACTCTCCCTTTGGGGAAGCAGTCAAGGCTTGCAGAATCCTCAGGCCAACCCCCAGCTGCACTGAAGTCATACAAGTCTTCCATTTCTAAGCGAGGACAGCAGCTGCCTCTACCTCCAGATCCAGGCTGTTCCCTTCTCCCAGTTATGCACCCTCCTGATGTCATTAGAATTACTGATATTTCAATGTACTTAAACCGCTAATCAAAAATGAGGGCTTCAGCATGAATGAAAATTCACTTCTGTGGACTTCCGAAGTTATTAGTGGCAAAAGCAGAAATCCCACTCAATGGCTTTAGGCGGCAAGAGATGTGAGAAGCCCCATTTATTTGAAGATAAAAGGGGAATTCTGTATAGGGGATATGGCTACCTGACTTGATGGAGTTTAGCCACTGAAGCTAACCAATCACGTTTGCAGTCTCACAATACCACATAGAAATGCTCGTGAGATGGCAAATTCAGCCAGGACTTGGGCAAATTGTGGACCTTGAGCCAAGTCCAGCTTGTCACCCTTTTTGGTAACAGTTTTATTGGCTCACAGCCATCCTCCCTTGTTTATATATCATTATGGCTGCTTTCATGTTGCCCCAAGCACAGCCAAGTAGCTGCAACAGAGATTGGCAGGCAAGTCTTGAAATATTTACCTACTGGTCCTTCATAAAAAGATTTGTTGATCCCAGGTTTAGGTGCTGGTGACCTTAAAGCCACTGGCTATTTGGACCAAAGGGCAGATTCTTTCAGGGGTTCCCCATCCAAGACCAACTTCTAGAGATCGCATGGGCCAGGTGTGCCCATCCACAAGGAAATCACAATGACCCCAGATAAGTAGGAATCTTCGAGAGGAAGAAAAGCATGAAATGGTCAGTGCTGGACCAAAGTTTCAGCAATTACCTGACAAGCTTGGTTCCAATTTGCTGTCGGATTTCCTGCCTCTCTTCCTCAGATGTGCGTTGCAAGATGTTTTTGTCCTCTAACTCTTTCTTGGATGGTCTGTTGCCAAGTTTGATAGCAAGAGTATCCCTTCGTCGTATTTTACTTGCCAAAGCACCTGAGGATTACAAAAGGGCAGAAATGCAGAGAGCAGCTCTGAGCCAGTGGTACTCGGGTTACACATGGCACACAGATCAAATCCTTTATCCTCATGCAAAAGGGGGAACTTAATTAACCTAAGAGGAAAAAGCTTTTGAGTTGGATGGAGTTCATTTTGAAAAAGACTAAAGAACTCTTTTTTTTTAAAAAAAAATGTTCTGAAGAAGATTGGGACACCATGAAAAACTTGGAAGTATCACCTCATCATTTGGAAAGTGATTTTTGAAGTTTGCTTTGCTGAAATGGTAGATTACGGAAATTACTGATTGCACAATGCCTTGTCTTTTTCATGTTTTAAAAAGTCAGTTCCTTTACTTATGCTGTACAGTTAATCCTTGTCTCGTCCTTTCCTTCACTCTGGCAAAGACCCTACCACACCGCTGGCAGAGGCCCTACAATGTAGAGCAATAACTTAACTCTCAGCGACCCAGGAATCCCTAAAGTCTCAACAGATGCTAGCTAATACCAGATGGCTCATATTTTCCCCCACTCTGTCCAAATTACAAGGAACTGAACAAACTGCTGTTCAAGCATTATGACAGTCACGGCTTTTCATAATCTATAAATTCAATCCCATAGGTCATCCTGCTCAGAAGGTTTTAAAAATTCCAGCACTTTCTAATTCCCTGAGTTACACACATGTAGTGAGAGTGCTCCACTTTAGTATCATTCCTTCTAGAAGGCAAACTATCTCACTCTCTGGGAAGCAGGGGTAGCTTTTAATTCTAAAAGGTAGTTGTCATTCTTGACTCATTTCTCTCTCTCTTCAAACTGCAGTAGAAAGGGAGTCAAATTCTCTGACTCCTCCAAGGGGTAATCTAAGGAATCCTGCACTGATGCTCTTATTCAAGAACCAGGGCAAAAAGACCTTTTGACCATTCTGAGAAGGCTCTCTGTGCCTAGAAAGTGTTGGTTCGCTTCATCAATGCAAATACGTCCATTCAGCTCAGAGATGAAGGCCAGACCCACCCTGTGACATCACCTTCTGGAAAGACCCGTCACCAAATGCCAAACTTCAGGACATCCACATTTCCAATGTGCGAGAGGCTCTTGTTCCTCAGGAAGGGCCGCCGCTTCTGTCTACCACCCACTCTCCTCCCACCCTGTGCAAAGTCTTACTTTCTCCACTGCCGTCCTCATCCTCATCCTCTTCCTCATCGTCATCAGTGTACAAGATGGGTCCATCGGAGTCAGAGTCGTTGGCCTGGTACTCCCTCGGGCCCTCGTCTTCTGGGGCACTGAAGGATTCTGAAGAGTCTCCCATCAGCCCTGGGGAGAGCAGCTGAGGTGCTGCCTTCCCCAGCTCATCTTTGGTTGTGAAGCTGTGAAAAGCACAGAAACACAGGGGTGATGCAAGGCTCAGGTCAACCCAAGGGACACCAGCACCACGAGAAGCAGAAGCCAGACATGGGCCAGCTCAAGTCACTGAAATGGAAGAGCAGCGCAGTATTACTTCTTAAGATTATACATTCCTCGCCAATAATTTTTTTTTTTTTTTTGGCCAGGCAGAGTTAGACAGTGAGAGTGAGAGCGAGAGCGAGAGTTATAGACAGTGAGAGAGAGAGAGAGAAAGGTCTTCCTTCCATTGGTTCATCCCCTAAATGGTCACTATGGCCAGCGCACTGCGCCGATCCGAAGCCAGGAGCCAGGTGCTTCCTCCTGGTCTCCCATGTGGGTGCAGGGCCCAAGGACCTGGGCCATCCTCCACTGCCTTCCCGGGCCACAGCAGAGAGCTGGACTGGAAGAGGAGCAACCAGGACAGTTTGGTGCCCTGACCGGGACTAGAACCTGGGGTGCTGGTGCCACAGGCGGAGGAATAGCCAAGTGAGCAGCGGCGCCAGCCTCGCCAATAAAATTAAGACGACTAGATTGTGTCCAACATGTTTAGCGAATGAATATACTAAAACTGTAATTTGCAAATTTATTTTTACATAGAAATGGGGGTCCAGTGGAAAGAATAAGCTAGAAGCTAATGAATATTTGAGTGCATTTTTATTTGATCAGTTAAAACCTCAGTTCCTTCAGGAATCTTCCATGAGCTGTCAGTTTAGTTTCCTGACTTATCCCTCTGTTTTTATGGTGACCTGAAGATAGCCAACCAGAGTACTTAGCACAATGTACGTTGATCACACAAAACTTGTCTGCTTTCTAAACACCCACAAGTCCCTGGACAAATGGGACTCACTGTTTTGCATCCTCATAATGGCATAGAAAAGTACACCTTCTTTCATTAATACAGGAATTAATCCTATTTTCATCCTAGCCAGTATGTCAGCAGAGAAACTCATAGATCCTCTCTGCTTTCATTTCTCCATTTGTAAAGCTTCCTCTCACAGGGCTATTATAATAACATAAGATGGAAAGTGTGAAAGTTAAACACACTCTTTAAAAGGAAAGTGAAGTGCAAGGATGCATTAATTTTCTATTATTTAGCTTGGTAAGAGTGTCTGGCTTAAAGTGTTTCTATAAATATATAAAACTTGGCAATTTTCAAAGACTAGAATAAAATATACTTTACATCAGAAGCATATCATATAATAAACTCCATGTCATCTCCATTTGAAGATACAGAAGATCCCCCAAATTACGTTCTGATATAAATAGAAGAATCCAAATTTGGATGTCACACTCTGAAAGACTTCTTGGTACAAAACATGTGTCTGCTGTTCTCACTAATCAAAAACAAAACAAAGCAAGAAAACCAAAGAGCATTCTTTAAATAATGAATGCATGTCAATTTTATCAGAATATGAGGGATTTAAAATTCTGCTTCATGTTATACATGAGCCTAAGTACTCTCTAAATTCTCCATTTTTCACTTAGAAAACCCAACAGCCTAAACTCTTGTTCTCAAAGGGGACTACGTGAAATCTTGTTTTAAATATAACATAGAATTATCATTTTAACATTTTAAATGTACAATTCAATGGCACCTGCACACTGTTGTGTAATCATCACCACTATTCACATTCAGAACTTCATCTTCCCAAACTGAAACTCCGTTCCCCAACAAACAGTAACTCCCCATACCTCCTAATCCTCAGCCATTGGCAACCACCATTCTACTTTCTGTCTCTATGAATTTGACCATTTCAGGAACCTCATGTAAGTAAAATCATATGTTTGCCCTTTTGGGCTTTATTAACTTTACGTGTCCTAATGCCAGCATGGCCCATTCATGTTGTAGCACGCTGTAGGTCCTTTCATTTTGTGGCTGAATGATATCCCTCTGTATGTATATCCACATTTCGTTTATCCACTCATCATTCAGTGGACATTTGGGTTGTTTCTAGCGCTTGGGTATTGTAAATAATGCTGCCATGGACGCTGGTGTACGAATTCAAGACCCTGCCTTCAATGCTTTGGACTAAACAAATAGAAACAGAATTGCTAAATCGAATCATATTGTAATTCTATGTTTAGCTTTTTGAGGAATCACTGTATTATTTCCCACAATATGAAATCTCATCTTAAATACGGGATATATTTTTATGGGAAAATTTTTCCACAGTCCAGTTTTCACTTGGTTGCTGCCAGAAACCCTGTAAATAAACTTATTGGTGACCACAGCACATTGAAAAAATATGCCCAGTACTAATATATTCTGGGTAGAAGAACAAAAGGTACTTCAGAGAAGAGTCCTGATAGTTGTTTGTGTTATTGTTCACTAATTTGTTACCTCACCCTATTTTTTTTTTTCAGTTTTCAAAGAATTGAGCATATATTTGTAAGTGTGTTATAGTACAGACAGGGCATATGATGTATAGTTCACAGAACTGGGGAATACCATGGGTGAGTTTGCCCAATTAAGGTAGCAACTCCAGTCTAGAAGTCCAGAACTCAGGCTGAAGGTTTTTGGCCTACTTATTAATTGTCAAATAATGGGACTGGCACTGTGGCATAGTAGGCTAAGCCGGCATCCCATATTGGTGCCAATTTGTATCGCAGCTGCCCAACTCTCTGCTAATGGCTTGGGAAAGTCAGTGGAAAATAGCCCAAGTGCTTGGGCCCCTGCACCCACGTTGGGAGACCCAGAAGTTCCTGGCTCCTGGCTTCACACTGGCCTAGCTCTGGCTGTTGCAGCCATTTGGGGGAGTAAACCAGCAGATGGGAGACCTTCCTCTCTGTCTATCCCTCCCTCTGTCTGTAACTCTACCTCAAAAAAAATAAATCTTAAAAAAAAGGTCATATCATGGTATATATGTTTCAGACTTAGAATTTCCAGTTATATTAATACATTATACTTAATATTAAATATATTTCAAGTTTCTAGCAAGTAACTCATGACTTGGCTCTCTTTTTTTCCCCTCCTAGAATTCCGGGACATGTTGAATAAAATGTGCATTTTATAAATGTTTGTGGAAATAGACTGAATAGAATCAAGTCACTGTTGAATATGGCCTCAAAAAAGGCCTATTAGTTTCTGCCTTACGTTATACCAGACATATGTGTTATTGATGAGGCTGCCAATGAAGAGAAACCTACCAAAGAGTTAGTTCACTGCCATATGGGAACAGAGGTGGGTATTTTTTTATGCACAGCCACTTGCCCTCTTTCAAGTTTTGATATTTGTATTGCAAACAGAAGTCTCTTCATAAAATGACAGAATCTTCACACATTACTTGACTAAATATAACTCAGGCAGCATTCTAAGTAAAGCAAGTAAGGAAGAGCCAAAAATTCTAAGTAAAATATTCACTTGAAGAAAGAATCTGGAAGGAAATTTGAGAGACTACTTACTCCAGGCTTATTAATTCAAGAGCCAACACAAAACACCCTGTAGGATGAATTATAATTTAAATGTTTAATTCCGAAGAATACAGCAGAGAAGGACATTTTTATGAGCTCTTCTAAGGAAGCATTATAATTAACCTGACTGGCGGGAAAATCTATTATAAATATCTCAATGTCTAACAAGGTCCGAAGCTTGCCTCCTCTGATTATAGCCCCAGGACACATGGAGAACAGGTATTTACCTCTTCCCTCTAACAGTTCTTCACATACTTGGGCTGAAGGCTGATATTAAGTTCCCAGCATGCAGTGTGATGCTTAGCTCCACAAAGTTTGGTTCCTAAATGTTCATGGAGATGAAGTGGACAGAGCCAGGTCATCTTTGGATAGGAGTTCTTTGCATGCTTAGGACCATCTAAGAAAGTGTTCTGTATGGTACACCTTGATCTTCAGTACACTCAACAATAAACCCATGCTCAATCTATTTCCCCAACTTCCTATGCTACCTCAGACATTTATTCTTTCTGGGTGCACTGGACAATATTATGGAAGAAACTACTCTCACCTATTCTGTCTTGTTCATTTTTGTATCTTTGCTGCTTGGTGTATTGCCCAGCACAGAGATGGCAAGCGAAAAGTAAATTCTGGAAAGATGAATGTTCAGTTCTCAAGACTGGAAGTGACTGCAGTGCTGGAAAACACTCGTGATAATTAAATGAAAACACTTGCTACACGCTGGAAGTATTAAGAATACTGCTATGGACTGAACTGTTCCCCAGAATTCCTGTGTTGGAATCCCCAATTTGACAATGCTGAGAGGTGGGGCCTAAGAGGAGGTATTAATCCATAAATGGTTTAATACCATTATAAAAGGGCTCACGGGAATGTATTTGTTTTCTTGCACTTTGCCTTTCTACCTTCTACCATGTGATAGTATAGCAAGACACCCCTCACTAGATGCCACTGTCTGTCTTGATCTTGGGCCTCCCAGATCTGTAAGCCAGTACATTTCTATTCATTATAAATTACCCAGTCTCAGGCATTCTGTAATAACAGCACAAAATTTATTCAGACAGACATCATAACTACTGGCTTTAATAATTTCTTTTCCCATGTCTTCTATTAAAATGTCAAATAAATTTATAATTTGACATTTATTTATCTTTCCTTTGCTTTATTCCAAATGATGGTCCTCCAAATGATAAAAACAAAAACAAACATCAAACTATTAGAAAAAAATCACAGAAGCAGAAGTAACTGCTTTAGAAAACATAAAAAATTATTCAGAGCACAAAAGTTGGTGTACAGAGCTGGGTTTGAATTCTGGCTTTAACAGCTCTAATTAAGGCAATCTTGGACAGACTATTTTACTTCTCTCAGTGCCAATTTTCTTATCTATTAAACAGGAATATTTCATGGAAGATTTATGTGAACTGAATAATAACACATGTACAGCACCTAGTTTTTGACATTAAATAAGTACTCAGTAAATGAAGGTTATTATTTTCAGCAATAAAGTTGATATTTTAGTTTATTGGTCAAAAACAACCTAATTAACGTAATAATTTTTTAGAGATTTATTTATTTATTTATCTGAGAGGTAGAGTTACAGACAGTGAGAGAGAAACAGAGAGAAAGGACTTCCTTCCGTTGGTTCACTCCCCAAATGGACGCAAAGGCCAGAGCTGTGCCAATCTGAAGCCAGAAACCAGTAGCTTCTTCCTGGTCTCCCATGTGGGTGCAGGGGCTCAAGCACTTGGGCCATCTTCTATTGCTTTCCCAGGCCACAGCAGAGAGCTGGATTGGAAGAGGAGCAGCCGGGACTATAACGGCGCCCATATGGGATGCACAGGTGCCACAGGCGGAGGATTAACCTACTGCGCCATGGTGCTGGCCCCAATTAATGTGCTAATTTTTTAAAAATACTCTTAGATGACAATTCTTTTATTTATTTATTTATTTGAAAGGCAGAGTTACAGAGGCAGAGAGGCAGGGAGAGAGAGGTCTTCCATTCTGCTGGTTCATTCCCTAGATGGCTGCAATGGCTGGAGTTGGGCCATCAGAAGCCAGGAGCCAAGAGCTTCTTCCAGGTCTCCCACGCAGGTGCAGGGGCACAAGGACTTGCACCATCTTCCACTGCTTCCCCAGGCCATAGCAGAGAGCTGGATCAGAAGTGAAGCAGCTGGAACTTGAACTAGTGCCCAAAACGGGATGCCAGCACTGTAGGCAGTAGCTTTACCCACTACACTTCAGTGCCGGGCCCCAAAAATTTGTTTGAAAGATACTCTATTAAATAATTTGAACTGAAAATACAGGTTTTATTCTTAGAAACAAGAGGGAAGAGTTTGGATTTAAGTGTTCCAAGCCAGGGCCAGCACTTTGACATAGTAGGCTAAGCCTTTGCCCGTGGCCCCAGCATCCCACATGAGTGCCAGCTCGTGCCTCTGCTGCTCCTCTTCTGATCTAGCTCTCTGCATATGGCCTGGGAAAGCAGTGGAAGATGACTCAAGGACTTGGGCCCTTGCACCTGCATGGGAGACCTGGAAGAAGCTCCTGGCTCCTGGCTTCAGATTGGCCCAACGCCAGCCATTGCAGCCATTTGGGGGAATGAACCAGCACATGGAAGACCTCTCTCTCTCTCCCTCCCTCTCTCTGTGACTCTGCCTCTCAAATGAAATGATAAATCTTAAAAAAAAAAAAAAAAAAAAAAAAAGAGTTCTAAGCCTTCCCCAGACAGAACTGACAGCTGGCACCTGCTATATTCCTTTCATACTTGTGGGATAGGAGGGCACATAAACATTATTTACCTGTAAGCAGACTATTTGCAGGACTTTGTGAATAGATGAAAGGAATGAAGGAAGCTGGAGCTCCTACGATGAACACCATGTTTCTGGATTGGACGAATCCACCACAATGTACTCCTAACTCAGTTAAGGACAACTCAACTTCCTTGGCCCACTTTGTTTAATTACCTTAAAGTAATTAAGACTAACTGCACTATCTTTTATGTTCCATTAAACTCTTTATAAAAATCTAGCCACCAGGGTCAATCTCATCTTCAACATTAGTTCTACCATACTGAAGTAGGCTGGCTTTTTAATAATTTTTGAAACATATAAAGGAAACAAATTTTGTATATTTCATATATACAGTTTTAAGAGTATAATGATATTTCCCACCCTACCCTCCCTCCCTTGCTCTCACCCTCTCTCTTCCTTCCATTCTTATTTTTCTTTTAATTTTCATAATGAAATACTTTCAATTTACTTTATAATCACAAGCTTACTCCTCCACCAAATGAAGAATTCAACAAGTAGTTAGTAGAAAAATCATTGTTTCTCAAGAGTATAGACAAGGGCTATAAACAATAATCAAATCTCAAAATAGATTGACTTTTCTTATAATCAGTTTAGTTCACCTTTTCATTTTCATTCAATAATTCAATAAGCATCCATTGAGTATCTAAAGCCTACCAGACTCTGTTCTGGTTACTGGAGACATAGAGTTAAATAAGACATGTTGGCTACTTCTGTCCCACAGATAGGGGAAAGGGATTGTCTTTGTATAGTGGACATAATAAGCAATTCTGTCTAGAGCTATTAGAAGACTTCACAGAGGAGATAACATTTGAGTTGGATGGGGAATTGAGGGAATAAAAAAGAAGGCAATATTGTGGTGGGAAATCAAGAGTTAGAATTGTTGAAATGAAAACGGGTAGGAGTGGGTTCTCAATCTGGACAAAGGTAATACAGATTCAAAATAAGCTCTCTAAGGAGTCAAGGGGACTGTCTAAGGATGAGAAAAGGAAGTACAGTAGCAGGTACTAATTGTCCTTGAAAACGACAGATCAGAAGGGATATTTTCAGCTTTACCAATGTGAATTTCACCGACAGCCCCTGGCATTTCCAGGGCAAGGCTAAGAAAAACCAATGGATAGCTGCATTACACGTGTGCTTACTTAACATCCAGTAGACTACCTTATAAAAGAAACAATACTCTAGTGATCTAGAGTACTCAGATGGAATACAAGCTTTGTCCTAACTCACCATTTTGCATTTTCTCTGCTAGCATTTAAGCCAGTGCCTGAGGGGAGCATGGTTCTGCACGTCGTCTCTTCAGTCCAAAGGAACGGACTTGGGTCTAAGGCAGAGATGGGCAAGTCAGCTCCATTGCTGACCAGGACAACTGGAGTGTCTGAAGCAACAATGCATTGATCCTCAAGAGGAAGAGAAGGGGCTGGGGGGGAAGGTGGTGGAGCCATGGGGGGAGCAGGGACTAAGGACTTGGACTTGCTTGTGGTCTGCTCCTCTGCCCCAGGGACAGTCTGTTTGGGTTTGAGACTTTCCACTCTGGTCTCTGGAGGCTCTCCTGTGAGGTCAGATGTACCAGAAGTGATGGTTTCTGAGGAGAGTCGAGATGTCGTTGGCTGCTTGCCAGTTTTTTTCTTGCCCTTTATAGTCCCCGCTGTCCCCGTTTTGCTAGCAACAGCCTCCTTGGAACCTCTGGGACGAGATGAGGTGGATGAAGTAGATGGTGAAGTCGACGCTTTGGAGCCACTTGGTTTTTTAGAATGAGAGGAACCAGCTAAAACAGAGAGATTTTGCATTAAAAATCAGAGAATAGAATGCTTTTTAAATAAAGCAGTCAAGTTGTAATTGTCAATGATATTTAAAATGTTCCCTTTAAAATTTGTTGGACACATAAATGAAAGGAAATAAGCTAATAAGGATAATGATTTTATTTTTTATTTGCTCCTTGTGTAAAATCTATGGATAACAAGTGACATGGCAAAACTAAGAGACAAAGCCCTCTGTCTCACCCTCCTCTAGTCTTTATCTGGACAAGCCAATGGGAAAATCTTCAGCTCCTCATCCTCTGGGTCACCTGGCAAAGCCCCTGCATGCCCTGAAGAAGGGATGTTATGGTGTGTAGGGTTCAGACACTAGCCGCTAGCTGGAAAAAGTATACAACTGGGCTTAGCACATATCATAAGAATGTCTTTCTGGGAATAGAGTGGCAGCCCACATTCAGCAGAGGCCAGGGTATATGTACCAGCTATTTTCTGGGTCAACAGCAAATTCACTCATCCTACTGCTAAAGGAGTAAACTCTAAACCATAGCAGCAGAAAGGAAAGCCTGCCATGCTGGCCTGAACTTCCATCTGCAGCAGTGATGAGGCAGAGTGAAAACACACAGTCCCACAGAAAGGACAAGCCTCCTTCAACACCAAGAGGCAGGGAAATAAACCTTCATGCCCCAGCACAAGATATCTACATGGGTAGCACCTGAATAACCTGAAGGGAAAAGTGGATCATTCTCACAACCCGACTCCACCTTCACAAATCTTCTGTTCCTTAGCATTTATGTTCCAAGAGGGCACTCCTCTGAGGATGCCAGGGTGTATCTGCCACTTCTAGGAAGGACTGCCTTCACCCAGTCCATTTTCAGGAGAAAGAGGATTAACTACCCTCTTCCTTATGCCATTTTAGGTAATGCATGTGAACTTCCAAGAGAACACTCTTGTTTTATGACCTTTATAAACTACAAATTTCTTCTAATTACTTCTATTATAATGTTGTATGTTCCTTCTTTTTCACATAAACATTAGAAAAGTTTCTGTTAGTGTCATGGAGCTGATCCACACTGTGAACAGATGTTACTGTAACTTACCTTCTGGTTATAGCTTAATCGAATTGGGAGTCAGTGATGAAGAAGAAACAAAGGAACACACAATGAGATTCAGGACTTGTTAATTCTGATAGACCAAAGAGGCCAGTTTCACTTAGATACAAGATTCAAGCTAAAAAAGAGTCTCTACATTTTAGGCTCTTTATTATTTTAGACATACATAGCTAGAATTTGCTTCCCCCAAATTTGGACCTCTTGATGCATCTTTATAATTAATAACCTTCACCTGACTACAAGAGAGCATACTTCTTCAGTCTAAGTCCATTCTAAATTTATTAATAATAACATAGACACTAAGGATTTGATGCCTTAATACATCCAACTCTTTTTGTAGTTCAGTTAAACAGAATCCATTCTGCATATTAACTCTAATAATTTTTTTAAGAAAACTTTTTCCTAACAGAAAAGTTTAATGTTAATGTGGCTTAAGAAAAAAAAAAAGGTATTTTTTTCCAATGCCTGGAGTGCAAATTCAAGCTATGTAATATTTTTCTTTAAATATTTCCTAAAATGACAGGCCTTTGTTAATCAGCCATGTTGCCTAATTTACCATGAATAAATATCATGAATAAAAAAATAAATGTCACCTTTCTTTATTATGGACTTCTGTTGTTAACAATGTATAACATTGAGAAAGAAAGAAAAATAAGGAAGATTTCACCTAATCTTCCTTGCTAAGCAAGTGAATGTTGTACACCGATACCTGCTATCTGGAAGTCTATGCTAATTTAGTTATAGAGGAAGTTTGTAACTGATCACTGCCCTAAGAATTTAATAGATATGATGGAGACTCAAGAGCTGCACTTGAACCAACTTTTCCAGACAGTCAGCATTTTTGTAATAATGCAAAGTCACCATGCAGACAGCTCTACACAGTTACAAAGGGAGTATCCATAGGTCCCTGATGGAGTACTCTCAACCATATTTACATTTAAGGGTTTGCTGGTCAGACCTCTTATAACACAGTGCACAAAATGTACTCTTCCCTTATTCCTAGGAACATCATGAGACTATAAATAAATCTTCAAGTGAAATATCTAGAAGGAACTAAATATCTCTCATGAAAGCTATCCCCTGCCATGGCACTAATCATCAGCTTTCTTCTGATAGCCCAGGCTGAGTCCACAGTGAGCCACCGCCATGTGCGAATGAGGCAGTGGGAAAGTTTCTGAGGGCTGGATCATGATCCCCAAAGGCACTGTGACAGTTTGGGACTTTGCCTGAAGAAGTGGATCAGTGTTTCTCACTTCAAACAGCGTTCTTGGGCTTTGTAAAGCAGTCTGGGAAACACACAGAGGCACAATGAGACAGGACGCAGACACTTGAGGGCAGCCAGTCTCTGTGGAAATGGTCCTTCAGCACCATTGGCACACCATTCTGGGCCATGTCATTGGAAAGCTTATTAGAAGAGACCCAGACACTGAAGGTCAAAGGGGGAAAGAGAGGAACCCAGAGGGAGAACCACCAACTGGCATCAAGATAGCAGGCTATCCTCTCAATTGACCATTCTCTGAATTGAGCATTATGGGTAAATTATGAGGGGGAAAAAAACCACAAAAATCAAAAAATGAAACCAAGACAAATCCTACTGCTAATTTTAGATAAAATGGGATTTGCCACAGCACAAGAGAATTCTTATGCACACATCAATAGGGAAAAGCCTTTGAGCATGTGGTCTTTGATTTATGTCCTTTTAAAAGTCAGACTACATGATAGGCATGTTCATTCTACCTCACTAGAGAAACAGAAGCTACCCTTGTATTAAGCAAGGATGTTAATGAGGATGTTTTACCTTATAACAAAATGAATTCTACTGGGGTAGGGGAAGGCCAAGGTGGTCCTGAGCACGTAACTCCCAGCTCCACTGAAACTTTTTTGACTGCAATAGAAAGAGGTGTGGTGGAGCTGACCAAAGTGATGTGATGACTTTGTCATTTATCAGAAGGGTGATGACTATGGACATGGAAGATTTCACATTTAAGATCCAGAAAACATATCAAAGATAAATTATATATTTGCATATATCTGAAATATTCTGAAAGAAAACCCAAGCCAAAAGGTCACTCATAACTCAAAAAGGTAGGTCAGTCAATGTCTAAATAATAGATCATGTCATTCATCAGGTACATTACTCCCGTATCCTGCTGCTGGGTATTAACCAAGATGAAAGAAGTATATTAACTAAAAACCTAATCAGGTGAGGGCAGGCATTGTGGTGCAGAGTGTTAAGCCACCTCTGGAACACGCACATCCCATATCAGAGTGCCTGGTTCAAGTCCTGGCTTGTCTGTTTCCAACCCGCCTTCCTGTTAAGGCATCATGGGAGGCAGGAGGTAATGGTTCAAGCACTTGGGCTCTGTCACCCATCTGAGAGACCCAGATGGACTTTCACGCTTATGGCTTTGGCTTGCTTCAGTCCTGGTTGTTGTGGGCATTTAGAAAGTGAACAAGTAGAGAGAAGATCCCTCTCTTTTTCTTTTTGTGTTTCTGCCTCTCAAATAAAACAAACGTTTTTTTTTTTTTTTTTTTTTTTAAATAGTGAACTAATCAATAGATTGTCTCTCCTTTGGTAGACAGCAACAAAGGCATCTCCCGGGTATTCTTTGTGTCAAAGTAGAATACACTGATATTAAACTTTAAGACACCAAAAGATCATCACATGTGGAAGAAACAATTAGCCCCATCTCAGAGCCCAGCACCCTGGACTCAACCCCACAGCACACTGGCGCCATACTCACCAGCCTCTCGGGTCGTGTTTCGGCTTGTTGGCTTGGGTGGAGGGACAGGGGCCTGCTTACCAGGAGCCTTGGCATTTTTTTTAATGAGAGGCACTTCGTCACCTTTGTGGCTGGCCCCAGCAGTGGCCCCTTTTGGAGGTACAGGTGTTTTTTTGGGTTTAGGTTTGGGTTTAGGCTTAGGAGGAGCTGGAGGAAGTAGAGCAGGAGCTGCCGGAGTTTCAGAGTGGTTTTCAGTGTTCTCTACAAGTGAGAAATTGAACAGAATAGACTGATACAGACACACACCATAGAAATACAAGGAGCATGACAAGGCGACAGCGATACACACATATGGCTGCTTGGCCCTTGGGAATCAGGTGGACTTCTGCATCTGGCAGAGCAAAATCTGGTGTAAAAACAAAGGCTGAAAGAGAAACTGTGCTGTCTGGGTCCATTAGTTGCCCCTCTGAGAAAACTGGGTTCCATGGGTTAATTTGTGAAAGTTTTGCTGAAGGTGAGTGTCAAGTTTGCGGGACAGAGGCCCTGATTACAGCCTCCAGTCTGGTTGCTAGGCTGTTAGATGATGAAGGGGGCATTTAGCGCTAAATTTCAATTTAAGAGATTTGCCAAAACCCAAGGCCTCTCCAAAGTGGGAGATAAGTGTATTCATTACATACACTACCATGGCGCGAGGATCCACAGCCACAGTTACCTCCGGGAACTTGAAAGGGATTCATGCTCAGATTCATTGTGGGCAAACATCAGTGATGTCCTAAGCTCACAGAGCCTCTGGAGGATCTTTTACATGGGGCACAATGTGCTGAGCAATGGCTGTTTTTCACTACTGGCATGTTCTCAGGCTCTGCCAGGACACCAGGGCAACTTCCTGGTCTAATGTAACAATTATAGGCCTCCAAAAATATGAAGTTTGGTGTATATCATAAATAATGATTTTGGGACAATAAAGGCTAAAATGAACACAAAAGGAATTTACACATAAGAATGGAAGTATCTCTGGAGGATCTGCATAACTGGGGGAGAAATGGCATCAGCCTCTCATTACTGAAAGCAGAGGTGCTGCAGGTTCATTCATTAATTCACATCCCTGTGTTTTCCACTAGCATCTGATTGGAATGAAAATAATTAAAATGTAGTTCTGGACCAAAGAGCTAAGCAGCATTTCTTTAAAAATGGAACACAATAAAAAACATAAGACAACGTTCAGACAAGACTAAGCCTGGATATATCTTCCCGTTACTGAAGGACCAAGCAAGGGTTGTTATACTGGAGTGCATTCCATTTTATTGTCTTACCTCTTACCTTAGAGAGTATGAAGTGAAAACTCTGCCCCCTGCTTTTTCTTTACCACATTCCACATGAAGTCACATCTGCAGCTACCATAATAGTGACTGGCATTACAGTAGGTGACCAATAAAACATTTCTGTTAAGGTTCACCTTTTATCTTGCTAGAACCGCAACCCTTCCCCAAGTCAGTGCATCCGAACTTATTCAGCCTTATTGTGGGAGACACTCATTCAAGCTTATCAGAGGCTATTTTGTATTTTTGCCTCTCTGTTTCTACATGTTTTCTCTTCAGCTAAGCTGCTTATCATTTGTAACACAGCAACGTTCACTCCCCTACATGGCCTGAACCAGCAGGCCTTTTCATTTTAAGAGTCAGCTGGGGTTGAGAACGATGCAAGTTGATGTCCAGCTAAACATTTAATTTTGTCATAAAATACACAAATGTACCTGACTTGGCAGCCTTGTGACACAAGCAAAGGCCAATTCTTTAAATACATCTTTGTAATTTTAGCTCTGAGCATTATACTATGTGTGGAGACCGGGTCCAACAACATTGTCTACGGTGACGGCAGGCAGGTCTCCAGCACTTGGTATCTTAATTCTCTCTTATACTATGCACCTTATGTGCCTTATCCTTTCCCTTGATGGCATGTCATCGACAGATCTTTTTTCTTTCTGCACAAGGTTTCCAAACCTAAAGTTAAATCCCAAAGAACCCAGCTTCCGGGTTGGGGAAGAACCCAGCTCTCCCTATGACTTCCGGGAATGATAATGCCTGCTGGGGAGGGCAAGCACATACTGTTCACACAGACTATCTGCCAGCCCCTGGGAAAGCATGGGCCACTCTCCTTGTCTTTGAGCTCTACCAGTTATCTGTGTCTGCCACTGTAGTGTCATGTATGACTTGTGTGCGTATGCATGAGCACACAGGTGAGTGTGCAAATGCTATTTTCTAATTAAATTATATTTTCTCTCTCTCCTGATATTTTATGATCTCATTAAATACAATGCTCTAAAAACCACACCCATTCAATGAGCATGACTGGTTGGCTGATAGTTACTGACATACAAATCCATAGAAAACACTCTTTCCTTGTATCGGGGAGGAAATAAATTAAGTCATGTTGCATTTTTTACTGTTCCTGTACAACCTGAGCTCCTGGTAGAAACTGATGGTGTACAGGAATGTTACCTTTTCACAAGGCTGTAGAGAAAGGGCTGCCTGTGCCTTCTGGCTTGATGAGGACACTGTGCTTTACAATACAGTCTGCAAGACAAGCTGTTTACTACACTTCCAGCCAGGGCTCCTTTCACCAGTCTTATAGCAACCCCAGAACTGCATGCATTCTTCACTGTGCCTATCATGCACTCCTATCTCTATTCTTTTCCTTCGCCTGACAACTTTCTATCAGGTCTGAGTGTGGAGATGTCTTCCTCTGAGAAACAGTTCTGGTGCCTTCTGCGAGCTCCCTGAGCTTGCTGCAGGCGGGCCTTCCATGCATCTTGTGTTGCAGTGGCCTGCTGGCATTGGATATCCTCACAGGCCATGATATCCTCGAGGGCAAAGGCTTATCCCATTCACCACTAATTTCCCAGTCCCTAATAGAGGTTTCCTATATGTTAGGTAACAACTATTTGTGGAACAAAAAAGTGTTTATCACTTACTAGTTCATTGAAGGCCCTTTAAAAATATCTCAATGGAAGTAAAATCAAATAGTTTTCAGATTTTTCATATTTAATATCAAGCTACGTTTAACAGACCGAAGGTACATTTTTCTGCCTTTTATATATTTAAGGGCACTTACTGAGGAAGAATTATGGGAGACTAAGAGCTCTGACAACCTTAAGGAAGAAGTCTCCAGTGTCAGGCAGAGGAGGTCGAAGAGCAGCACTGTAGCAAATGCAGTCTGGTGCCCCCAGGAGCTCCAGAAATACTCATGAGGCCAGGGTGGATTTATCCACACAGTGAGTGTGAAGACATCACCTGCCATCTGCTTTGCTTTCTTTTTATATTAATGTTTCAAATATTGAAGTATTGAGACACTGTTCTTTTAAGAGATAATATAAACATCTAGGACTTTAAAGGCATATATGATGTAGTTCTGGAACTACAATCAATTAATAGCTGCACTAATGCTCTTGAATAAACTGGCTTAATTCAGAAAGAAAAGGGAACACATATTACATCCCCAAATAATGAATGAAGATCATGGGTTGATGGGTTTGCACAGCAGTGAGCCCGCACAAGGAGTGAGCCCAGAAGAAGAGCAGGAACAAAAGTCAATGTTGGGTTGGTTTTCAGAATTAAGTGATGTTTTCCAAGAGAAGTAATTTGTTGTTTTTATTCAGAGGTGTGTTCTATTTAACATAATACTCAGTAATGCTCTTTATGCGTGACATTCCTTTTAGGCTCAGGAAGTGGCTTTCACGCCTAACAGTTCTCTTCCTTGTCAGCATGGCTCTGGTCTGTGCTCTGTCTACCCAACAAGAGAGACCTACACAGCCCTACTGATGGCACACAGCACTCCCTGGCATTTCCATCGCCTCAGGTCCCAATTAGCCATGCATGATGCTGTCTTAGCCTTTATTTGACCAGAAAGAACTGAATGTACTAATTCTAAACAAAGAATAAGACAACAAAGCACCTCTCAATTATTCATGGACCTATAAGGTCTGCTCCCTTTCTTTTAGAACATCAAGGCCTGTTTGTTTAGATAACATAAAACTGTCAGCAACTTTTTATTAGGTTAAAGAAAACATCCTTTGAATTCGGCCAGTCCAGGGACTGATGTACATGCAAATGAGGCAGTCACTAAAGATAACACTGTTGGGAGTCAGTGTTTGGCCTACTGGTTAAGATGTTAGTTAAGAGGCTCATTTCCCACATCAGAATGCCTGGGTTTGATGCCTGGCTCTGGCTCCTGACTAGCTTCCTGCTAATGTGGACGCTGGGAAGGCTGACTCCAGCTTCCTAATGCAGACCCTGGGAGGCAGTGGTGATGCCTTAAGTAATTGTGTTCCTGCCACCCATCTAGGGGATCTGGATTGCATTCCCAGCTCCCAGATTTAGCCTAGCCAATTTCTAGCCATTGTAAGCATATGGGGAGTGAACTGGTAGATGGAGTTTCTTTGTCTCTCAGGTAAACATAAATGATTAGAAAAAAAAAAAAGATGGCACTATTACATAATGAGAAATGTGATTTTGAATGTGAAAGGGTTGTGCCAGGGACGAATCACAGATGTATTTGAAATTCAACAGATTTGCTGAGACAGGAGAGTTGGACTTATGCTGCATGGGTTCATCTAGAAACTCCCAAGAACAGCTTTCCTGGTGAGAGCTTCAGTTCAGGACTGTGCAAGGACAGGCTTACAGGTTCCTACATGTAGCACAGTGGTATTGAGATGAAATCAATCCACAGCAAGAATTTTGGAATGTTCCAGGGGGTCCTTGATGGACATGTATTTTGCAGGTATCTCAGATCTCTAGGGTATTCATTCTAGAAAGGAAACTCTCTACAGCAGCCTGCAGGGAACAGTGTAATTGCCTCTGGCTCATTTTGAAACTTCCAAGTGCACAGAGAAATCAAGGAGCTAAGGCTGTGGCAATCAGCCAGGAGAGCAACAACCCAAAGCTGCATCTCTGGAGAAGATTCCTGGGTCTCGGTCTCAGAAATGTTTACAATCTACAAAACTGGGTGTGCGGATGCCACTGGCCAAGTCCTACTGCTATGTAGACAGTGCTGGGCTGAAAAAGTTAGGTGGGTTTTCATATTTTTCCCTGATGTCCTGACAATCAGCTGAGAAAGTTTTCAGATTTCTTGACTTGTTTAAGATCCCAAGAAAAGGCTAACAGTCTCAGATCTCTCTAATTGAAGAGGCCACTTCTTCTGATTATTACCTTTAACCAATCCTCTTTAATTATAAAAAAAAAAAAATCAAATGAACGAGGTGCTTATACAGTGGATGCCTGCACGGAGGAAGCCAGCTCATTGCCTTCACATCACTACCCCTTCTTGGTGTTTGTAGCTCTCCTCTCTGCAGATAGCACTTTTTGGAGCCTAAGACCTGGTTTTCAACACTGAGTTGCACTAATGTATATGTTATGGGGTTTCTCTTTATTTTACCTTTCTTATCTTCTGACTTTTCCTCCAGAGGTGTTGTTTTTTCAGATACAGAGCCATTACCTTCTTCAGACTTTCCTACATTTTCCTCTTGGGTAGATTCCTCTCCGATGGGTATCATGTGCCCGTTTGAATTTTCAAAGTTAACTGTTACATCTCCATCTAAAATGGGAAAGAAACACCTAGATGTCTAACTTGATGGCGTTTTGGAAAACCAGTTTCCCAGTTACTAGGATTTGTAGGATATGGGTTCACGTTTCAGGCCCTGGGAGCTAAATGCATCCTGGATTGTTTCATCAGGTACTGAGGATACTTCTAAAAGTTTGTGGGAAATGGAATTTAGAAAATTAAGCTTATTTTGGTGGAAAAAAATCTTTAAAATCCATGCATATCAGAGTATGTAAAAAGTTCAAGGGCAAATGTGTATTGTGGAAAACTAGACATGGATTTAAAAATTGTTTTATACCAAAGCAAAGGTAACTTTTAATTCAATGTTCCAAGAACTTTTGGAAGTACCCTTGTATTATTAAACAATTTACTTGAAACAAAAGAACTAGAAAACTTAGTAATGAGGGGAAGGTAGCTGTGGAGAGAACATCTATCTGCCATTCAAGACAGTAGGAGCAATTATCCTGACCACAAGCTAACCCAGGGCAGCAGAGTCCCTATGTTCTTGTGCCCACGTTTTGTTGAAATCAGTATTTATATGTTTCTTCTTCAGAAACTGAATACTGATGAGAATAATCTGGCATATGGAGTAAATATTTCAACGAGCATCAAAGCCACAAGATGAATGCAAATACACAAACAATGTGATATGTAACTACACGATTAGTGAAAGTATATGAAAATTTCTAAGCACCACTGTCTTCAGAGTACATACATGATATCTTAATTTTTCATAGTAAGATTATTAATATTCAATGAAAAGATGGTACCAGGGCTAGTTTTATTTTCATTTTGTTTATGGAAAGATTGAGATGTACTTAGGAAGTTGTTATATATAAGTAACCAAAAAGTTCTTCAGTTGACCTAATAATTTTGAATTTTAGGGGGAAAAGCATGAAAAAAATCATACAGGGATTTTTTTTTAAATCATAGTGAAAATAAAATTTCTAATACATTATCTAATTTATAAATAATCTTAAATCTTAAACTTTCACAATTTCTGGGGGTTTCTAAAGTAAAAGATTTTGCAGAAACTTCTATTTCAGTGATGCTTGAAAAGACAAACTCAGTTTATATCCAGAAAAATTTAAGAATTTTGCTATCATCAAAAGAAAAAGTAATAATTAAAGTTTTGATTTGGTAGACTTGAAGAAATACATAATCAGAGCTATTTCCATGCAATTTTCCATTAATAGCATTTTGGCAATCTTTACAAAACAGAGAACATTTCCCAAATTTTCACTGCTGAGGTTCAAATTAAAATTCATTGGCTTTCTTAACAAAAATGAATTACATTTTAAGAAGTGAAATACATATTATGGAATTATGCTATGCTTAAAAAGAAGAAGCAATTACTGTTAGGTTATATAACTCCCAAGAACCTATAATCTGATTCCAGATAAAACCAAAATAGACAATAATTGAAGGCAATGCCATTCAAGTAAATTTAAACTATTTTAATAAAATTAATCTGAGAATTTTTAAGAGTACATGCCAAAACCAAAAAGAACTTAAAAGATTTTTTATTCATATTATTGAATTCCAAGCATCCAGCTATAGAAGAAGGGGCAACACAATACACCCAGAAAAAAAATGAAAATCATGTAAGAATGGACAATTGCAAAGAAAACAAAAACAGTTCTTTACATAAAAATCTTCAGTTTTTAGGCAACTCATTACAAATTTATGCTTTCTTTTAACTAAGTTGGTTATAAAGGTATATTGAAATTATGTTGGTGACAATTTTATTTTAAGCATTATTATATCAAAATTCTTCAGTAGGTTAAATAATTGATACTTTAAATTTATAACAAAGTGAGAAAATTAAATCATGTGGCACAAGAGGAAATTGGATTACTTTATGATAATGGAAAATAGTCAACAATGTGGAAGGATACTTTGAGTTTAAAATAAAGCTAGTGCTTCTTAAAATAACTGTAGAAAGAGATATGTTTTTGATAAATATGGACTTCAATAAAGCAGAGAACTGAAGTTATGGCTGATGTGTGTGCTGTAAAGATTTCCTCGTATTAATGCATTGAGAAAATCATTTTAGAATTAAAATAAGCTAAGTCATTGATGTAGTGTACATATGTAGGCAAAACATAAGCACAGCAAAGGAAAGTGTGCAAAATGCTGAACCAGGGGGCAGGCAACAGCAAGAGGCCCAGGCCAAAAAATTTCACAGCAGGGTTTGTATGCAAAGGAAAGAGAAAAATGCAGCAATAGTTGTAATCTTAAAGTAGAATCAGCAATAAAGCACAGACAGATAGATGTAGTGAAATAATAAGTAGAAGAGTATTTGAAGGTAGTTGCCTCTTTCTGGTAAGCAGGTGTACTGGAGATTGAATTAAAGGAAACATAGATACGTGGAGAAAATCACGTTTGATCAAAAGGTGAGTGACTCATTTGAAGGTTAAAGATACACGGAGAAAAAGAATGGTGGACAGGCAAAGACACCTGCATGCCCTCATGTAAAGCAGGAGAAAGATGAGGAGGAAGAATCAGAGGGCAGGACTGAACTTGGACTAGACCATGGACTTCTCAGGAGAGATGACCCATTATCGAACTTTTTAGACTGAAGTTAGTCCTGAGCATAAAAAAAGATAATCTAAAAGGAATAATAATAGTAATAGTACTAGCTGGGATTGAGGGTATGAGGCAGGATGGGGTTCGGGTCAAACCCAGGGATTAAAAACTCTATCTGGGGCCGGCACTGTGGCATAGTAGGTAAAGCTGCCGCCTGCAGTGCTGACATCCCACATGGGCACCCTTCGAGACCTGGCTGTTCCACTTCCAATCCAGCTCTCTGCCATGGCCTGGGAAAGCAGCAGAATATGGCCCAAGTCCTTGGGCCCCTGCACCCGCATGGAGACCCGGAAGAAGCTCCTGGCTCTTGGCTTTGGATGGGCACAGCTCTGGCTGTTGCAGCCAGTTGGGGAGTGAACCAACAGATGGAAGACCTCTCTCTCTCTCTCTCTCTGCCTCTCCTTCTCTCTCTGTGTAACTCTGCCTTTCAAATAAATAAATCTTAAAAAAAAAAAAAAAAAGAAAAAACTCTATCTGACGTACTAGCTGATATCTGACCCATAGCTGACAAGCACTGTCAAGAGTTGAAGCAAGATCAAAGCCAAGAATGAATCTTCATTGGCAGAAGAGATGAGGCTGGCACCAAGAATGGCAGTTTCCAGTTTCTCAGTGAAATTTTCAAGATAATGGTTTTTGGGTAAATGACAGAAAACTATTTTCTCCATCTCTTGGCTAAAAATGGAAAAGGATTTAATTTACCACAGGTACCCTCCAGAACTTCAAACATTAGACAATTTCTATAGTTTTATACAGGCCCTGTACAAAAGGTGGAAAGTAAAATTCAGTAATTTATGACTTCCCTGATATTATTAGACCTATCACATTATGTTTAAGTTAATAACTGTTTTATTATTTTACATTTTAAAACTTTAAGTGTTTGCCCATAAAATTTAAATATAAAGATCAAATATAGTCATATTTCTGGGAAATAAGTATATATTGGCCTTGAAATTGGAACTTATGATGAAAATAGTTTTAATAGATTAGGCAGAATAATAACAAAGCAATATGAAACATTTCTTTAAATTGATCATTCCTACTTATATTTACAAAAAATAAAATCTTTATTTTTTAATTATAAAAAGATGGTTCTTCAATATCTATCTTTAAACTCATTAACATTTTCAATCATAATTTTTTAATTTTTAAAAATATTTTCTAATAAATGATACCAACCAATTGCTTAGGCCCACTCCATAAAGCTGTTGTCAGTTTTTAATGGATTTATAACTTCTCCCTGCCTCCATGGAGAGTGGGCGAGAGATGAATTTTCATTCTGCAAACCTATCGTTAAGTTTAAAAAGTCTAAAATGTGCATTTTTTATTTTTAAAAGCCCAAGACAGGAAACAGTTTCAATAGAAAATTAGGGCAGACATAAAACTCATTGATAAAGTAGATTGAGAAAAGTTTGACAAGTCAGAAACTGAAGTAAAATACCTAAAATTGTGAGGACTTAAGAAAAAATGGTATTATCTACCCCAAATTTCCCTATGGTCTTTGAAGCAGGACTGAAACAGTAAAACACTTCCAAGCTCCACTATGGAATTATTCAAATGTTGGAAAAAGAATGTTATTTTGATTTATAAACAGTGACTGCCAAAACATGTTAAGTTTTTTGCAAGGATAATATGAGCCTATGTCAAGCAAAGAGAATAAGTACTACTATTTCAATTCCAAATTATTAGCATTCTATTTGTTCCATAAAAGTACAGTAATGCTATTTTTCCCAGCAAATGTTGGGGTGGGGAGGCAAATAAGATAGATCAATAAGGATGCCAAAACACATCCTTTAGCAGTGGGAGGGATAAAAATCACTTGGTATTGTTTATTTGGAGAAATGACCGGTGCTGGTATCTTCTTTTCAGGGCAATCTCAGTTTGTATCTAATCCTTGTATTTTCTGAGCAAGATCTTTCCTTGGGAGGATTAAAAAAAAAGTAAGATTAGAGTGGGCCAACATTGTGGCACAGGTTAAGCCACTCAGAGTGCAGCTGGAAGTCCCAACTACTCTGCTTTCCATCCAGCTCCCTTCTAATACACTAGCAAAGCACTTGGGCACAGGCCACCCACTGGAGAAAGAATGCAGGAATTCCCAGTTTCTGGCTTTGGCATGGCCCAGCTCCGGCCGTTGCAGCCATCTGGGGAGTGAATCAGCAGATGGAAAACTTCTATATTTCTCTCTCTGTGTGTGTCTCTGCCTTTCAAATAAATAAATACCTTCTGTAAAAAGCGTGAGATTAGAGGTGGAGAAAAAAGTACCTGGAAAAGTCACTGTTAGGGAAAAGGTGAGAGGCAACCAGATTCAGAGAAAGGCTTTTAAAACAATAAAGAGAATGCACAAAGCAGGAAATTTGCTTTTAAGAGAAAGCATGAAGCAGATTAATTTAATTTGCCCATTCATGCCTTATTGATTGTCCATTTCAGTGGATAATAGAGTGTCAAGGACACAGAGTAGGACTGCCACATCTTTCCTCTCTTCTCTCTTACTGCTGTCATGAGAAACAAATAAGGCATGAATCAAGTTGGAGTTATTTACACCAACGATTGAAAGACTGAAGCTCAGAGACAGAGAAGCCAGCTGTATCTCTAGGCTCTGTTGTACTTCTGTAGCTTTGGGTAGAGAGTGACATAGGATTCACCAGGAAAGTCCCTGGGTTCCTCTCCTCTAACACCTCAGCTTCTGCGCCACCTGCAAAGGCATCAGGAGACTAAAGCAAGATCCTTGGTGTATATCACTCACTGCTTCATCTGACAAGGACCAGGATCATTTTAAATTTCAACAGAAAATGAGAGAAAGACCAAAGAGTGAAGGTTCAAATTATTTTAAACGTATGATTAATTTCCTCACCTTGATCAGGCAATTCCTTAAGAACTCCCCTTCTTATCAGCTCCTCTCTACTTTGTCTTGTAGATATCTTCCTTTCTAATACTTTTAAAAAGAATAAGCACAGGTAAGAATCAAGTCATTGCTTAAAATAATTAAGAAAAACATTCCAAGCAGAACTGAACACATTTATTCTGTTCACATGGGGGCTCAAACCCACCTAGCACAACATGTGGCTGGGGTTGAAACAACACAGCCAGGACAAGGGCAAAGGACTCCAGCCCAAGACCCAAAACCCAGTTATTGTTCCTGGTCTTTCCAACGATCATCTCTGGCCAAGAATCCAGACCTTTAATTTCATACTAACCTTAGAGCATAGAGGCCACTACTTACTTTGAAAGAACTCTCTTCGTAATGATGCATTCTAAAACATACCCTTTTATGGATGTACAGTTCATGTAGAAGCTGAATGTATTTATATTAAAACAATAACCACCCACACACTTTCAGTAAATATTCTGGTAACTCCTCTGTATCCCTATGAGAAAGAGTCACTTCTCCAGTGTTTTCTCTATCACAACATCTATTTTACAAGCCCAATATATCAGATTTCTGGAACTCTTTGCCAGCCATACTCAGAAATTCTAGAAGGTTCTAGTATACCCCTGACAAAGCTCAAGACTTAACAGGCTGGAGAATGGAGTATAGAATGGGCAGCTTTCATAGGTATGGAAAGGGATGGGGATCTCAACACAGATTCTTCCCTCTGGAAAAAAATCTGAATTCCTGGAACAACTTCAGAATAGAGCTTAGAAGTTCAGGGGCAGGGCCTGAGTAGTATTAGCCTTGTCCATACATAATATTAATTCATGAACCCTACATGTCTATGTAACTGCCAGCTCCACTCTCCACTTCCAGGAACCAAGAAGGTGTGTAAATTTAACACATGATCATGTCATCTACTAATCCTTAGAGTCAACATTCTCCTAAGTGTGTTCTGCAGAATTCTATTCCCTCCAGATGCTCTGTTCCCAAACAGCATCTGGTTTTGCAGAGAAAGGCCAGAGAACTTTGAGAAGATAAGGAAGACTGGAGGCTGGGCAGCCACAGTAGGACCAGATTTCCTCCCTAGGATTCCGACTCCTGGCCTCATTTCTGCAGCTGTTCTAGACAACATAAATTCAATTAAGGCCAATTACCCCAACAATGCCCTGACACACACAAAGGGAGCTCATGACAACACTAAAAATGTGTTTAGTGAGAAATGCAGGTAGCCTGAAGCAAGGACACTGAAGGGAGAAAGAGAGAGGCCAAGCCTTGGGAAGCAATCTTTGTAGTAAGTGCGTAAAAGTCTTCAGCAAGTGTTTACTAACGGCAGCAGCCCCAAGAGACCATCATGTAGCCTCTCTTGAAGAACTGGATTCTCTCCACCTTCTCTGGTAACTGAGAACAGTGGATTTCTTTTTCATCCTGCCTGTTACAAACATTAGGGTAAACCTTGATATTTAAAGGGGCCGATGCTGTGGCGTAAAAGGTAAAGCCACTGCCTGGGACACCAGTATCCCATACAGGCATAGGTTTTTATTCAGCTGCTCCACTTCCCATCCAGTTTCCTACTAATGGCCTGGGAAAAGCACCAGAAGATGGCCCAGGTGCTTGAGCCCCTGCACCCACATGGGAGACCTAGAAAAAGCTCTCGGCTCCTGGCTCCAGGCTGGCTCACCCCAGGCCGTGTGGCCATTTGGTGGGTGAACTAGTGGATGGAGGATCTCTCTCTCTCTCTCTCTCTTTGACTCTCCCTCTCTCTTTCAAATAGTAAATAAATCCTTAAAAAAACACCTTGATATTTAACATAGGTTTTGCATAATTCATGTTTCCTCCTCTACAGCCTGACTTCCCTTATTCTTATTTTATGTATAGTACACATGCTCTTCGTTGTAAGTTTTCTCAAACATTGTATGGATATAGTCAGAATATAAACAAATAAGAAAATGAGTAAATGAATGAAAAAAGGGTCAAAAAAATGATAATGAATGGATTTAAAGGGGGAACCACACAGAAGCTTCCTCTCCCTCCCCTTTAGGTTACCCAACCATTCTCACTCCACACTCTCGCTTCCAGAAGCAAGTAACAATAGTTCACTGAATTGTTACTGATTCCAAAGGACAAAGTTAACTGGGTTGGGGGCAATGAGTTCTTTACGTAAAATGAGTTCTTTTTATGTGAAAAGTGTGTTCTTAATGAAATACAGTTTGGATTTGTTCAGACTTGTTCGACACAGGAAGTCAAACACCACTACCCACAGTGGCAGGTGGAAGGAACCCTGCCAAGACTCTGCAGGTGGATTAGGGGCATCCTGACTACTGTTGCCTTCCAAGGATGGTCCCAACCAATTCAGGCATGACTGGGCATTGAAGGGTGGCAGGACTCTGGAAACCTCTTCTAACAGTTGCGTCAGTCCCCACCCCTGAGGACAGGCTCATCCACCAAAGACAGTTCTATCCTCAATTTGAGTGTGGAGGTGGCAACTACAAGGGCAAGTGTCACTGGGCTCAGACCAAACTCATGGCCAATTCAGTCACTGTGGCTTACTTTCTTATCTTTATTTATTCTTTGCTCACATTCAACAAAAAATTTAATTGTTTTCTGCACCTGTAAAAATGCCTAAAGACACAAAAAGGTTTTCAGGAATCCTGGATTCTAGACCCAGAACTCCTATAACCAGTTGCATGGTTTGGGGCTATTACTTCACATTCCTAGGCTTCTAATTCATGAACTGTAGGGTAACAGACAAGATTCAACAGTCTCTGAACACAAACTCAAGTCTCGTGTGACCCTATAGCATGAATCAGAGTTGTTCTATAATCTTTGCCTTTGCTTAGGGCATCTTTAAAAAACTCATCTTGTACTAAAAAAAAAAAAAAAAAAAAATCATCTGAGAGCGGGGAATGTACCTGGTTTACGCTTCTGCCTTTCCCTGGTGGATCCTTAGTTTTCCCTGTTGGATTCTTTAGTTTTAGTTTTGAGTTTTCTTTAATTCTAATTTATTCTCAGCTAAAAATTCCTCTCCTTTCCTCGTTGTAAACTCTGGAGGTTTGAAGCAGCAGCGTGGGCTTCCTGCCAACAAGCCAAACCAACAGCTTTGTTCTTTTGCTCTACCTCCTATGAACAGGCCTTGATAGGAAAACGCCATGGGCTATTTGTTTGGTCTTTGGCTGAGAGCACTTTTCACACATAATGCAGATATCTGTGCACAGGGCCAAGGAGAACAAACGACAGGCAACTGAGCATGGAAGGTATGTTGCTGGGGCACAAAATTCCAACCACTGCTCTCACAGAAGGACAAGCATCTCATTCTTCACCTTTTAAAATATTTCCCTCGTGTTGATCTAGTGTCTGTATGTTTGTGGAGCACATTCATGGGCTCCAAGGGGTTCTGCATTGGCATGAGCCAGAGAGGTCATTCTAGTCCAAGTTGTCCTGCACAGCAGGGCCATCGCAGAACATTCCTGAACCGTGCTCACCTGCTTCAGAACATTCGGAGGAGGATCTCAGCAGTCGGCACAGACCCTTCAGCTACCAATAGCCTCATTTTTAGGAAGGGGTTGGGTCCTCACAGGAGTCAAAATCACATTCCCCATAACTTCTGCAGATTAATTAAACCCAAGTTCTCAGGGGCTCTAGACTACAGTAAGTCACTGAGAGAGGAAAAGAGCAACAGTCAGCTCCATGTGCTCAATGACAGCAAAGCAGGCTATGGGAACCTCCTAGAATTTGCCACCAGCTGCTCTTGGCCCTTTAAGCTCACACTCATCTGTTTAGCAACATTACCAGTGCCGGGGAGCCTCTCTCACATCCAAAATATTACCAAGGAGGAGACATGAGGGGCGCAGACCTCTGGAGGCCATAGCAAGGCCTCTCCCTGAAAACTATGTCGCCAGTTGGGTAAATAAATGACTCCCGGCTACTCACTTTCATCCCAATTGAGAAAAGCTTGAGTGGTTTCAAACACAAGATGAAGCAAAATCATATGTTTCACTGTCTGCACTGTGTGAATGAATATTTTCAGTTTAATCTTGAGTACAACACCTTATTAGATATCCACTCCTTGCATACCTGATGGAGAACAGCTCATTCCCTTTCCTGTCCTTATCCATCTTCTCTCCCTGCAAGACACCAACCATGCCCTCACATGTATGTCACCTCCCTGAGAACCAAAATTCTGCTCTGTTTATCAGTATGTCTCCAACAAAGACTTGCAGGCTGTTGGCAACTCAGAAATTATGTGCCTTTGTCAAATAAATGAATTTTTAAAACAGGCTAATAATGATAATGGTTTTGTTTTCTACCCTTTCCTAACCGCCAATGTAGAGAAAGTATAAGAGACTTGTGGCAGGCATGGAAAGCCAAGACACTCTGGGGAAAAAAAAAAAAAAAAATTAAAATTCAAAGAGACCTAAATGAAAGATCTCTGTGAGTGAGATCCCAGTGGAAAGAACAGGTCTTCAAAGAAGGAGGTACCTTTCTCTGAAGGGAGGAGAGAACTTCCACTTTGACTATGACCTTGTCTAAATAAGATAAGAGTCGGTGAACTCAAAAGGCTTCCATAGCCTTGGAAACTCATGACTGGAGCATAGGGAGATTACTGATGCCATAAACAGGAGTGTCAGTTTGTAAAGTCAACAACAGGAGTCACTGTGCACTTGCTCCTCATGTAGGATCTCTGTCCTTAATGTGCTGTACATTGAGATTTAATGCTATAACGAGTACTCAAACAGTATTTTACACTTTGTGTTTCTATGGGGGTGCAAACTGTTGAAATCTTTACTTAATGTATACTAAACTGATCTTCTGTATATACAGAAAATTGAAAATGAATCTTGATATGAATGGAAGGGGAGAGAGAGTGGGAAAGGGGAGGGTTGCGGGTGGGAGGGAAGTCATGGGTGGGGGGAGCCAATGTAATCCGTAAGCTGTACTTTGGAAATCTATATTCATTAAATAAAAGTTAAAAAAAAAAGAGACTTGTGGCAAAACCTTAAGGTACAATAGCCTCCTGTCTCCCACCTCCTTTACACATTGGCTAGGATAGTCAGAAGGAAAAT